TTTCTACGTTACCATATTATAAAAATGATAAATCAAACTACTTCTTACATCAACGAATATAAAAATATGTACACTCAGCAATAAATCGTGACGTCCTTTCCCTGAACACATACATGCGTCCCTGTTCAAAGGTTAAACGGCGATTTACGTGGTCGCGCGTTAGTTACCGTACAGTAAATATCCCGAAACATCGTGAAAATATTTGACACGATCTGTCAAAAACGAAAATACCAGCGGAACTTTTTGACTGGTACAGTGTGGCAATCGAGTTACGACGAAAGGTTTTTCCAGTCCGCGTAATAAAAATACGCGCTCATGGGATGTGCGTGTACGTGCGAGAAATGACGGTAACGAGCGATAATTTCGCACAGCGGAATATAAGAAAATTGAAATTTTTGCGAATGATCGTAATTTGACGAGATCGGAATCGGTATTTACGGACGGGTGTTGGCCGATAATCGTTTAAACGGCGATTAAACAGGGGTGTCGGTCTCGCGAATAAATTCGGCGTGGCGAGCGTAACACGCGTGGCGACGCATTCGTTCGCGGGCAAATTACATGCTCGTTCGCGGAGTAATCGATGTTTCTAGTTGGCGGTGACACCGTTAAAACGACGCTCGTTCCGCTGACGTTCGGCCGTAGAAATAATTGCTGGAACTCGCACGGGCATTTCTATGAATTTATGAACAAGCCCGTTGGGTCACAGGTCGGTTATCTTACGCGTGCTACCGTCGCGTTTTCGCAGCCAATTAAAATTATATCGCGGCAACAAGTCACGTGTAATTGTCCCGGGGAAAATGAGATCGCTGCGGGGGAGGCAGGGTGATGACAGTAATGAAAGAAATTTATTGAGACGAACGGGCGACGAAACGTTACCGACAATCGCTTACTATCGTGACGGCTCGCGTCGGAAAATTATTACCCGACATGTGATATCGGCAAAGGGGATTGCAGAGCCGAAGATTGCAGCTTCGGTCCTCTTCGTTTTGCTTTCGCCTCGGTTACCATCGGGAGACGGTAATTTATGGGGGAAAACGAGAGAACTATGCGTTCACGCGCACCTCTGATGTTTAATTCCGTTAAACAATTCGACATCAAAGAAACGGCTTTGAATACCGGGGATTATATTTTGGTTTGGGAATCGGACACTTGCATCGAAGCTTTGGGTTTTGTTCATAGAATTAGGCAATTTATTGAATCTGACGGATTAATATTTTTTGGGTAAAGTATTGTTGAAGGAAGCTTTCATTTACTATTCTAGACTTGTTGATTATAAAATTTGAAAACATTTATATTATTAAATTTGAAAATATTCAGTCTTCAAGTACACTATTTTCCAGATGCAGCTTACAAATCCTCCAAACTTCCAACTTTTCAGATCCCAAAATCGGGAAATTTCATCAAACTCCAAATTCCTGAAAATCCGCAAATACTCTGAAAATTGTCCGACGTAAATAAAGTAGAATCACAATCCTGCGTACAAAATATTCTTCCCACGTTAAAATCCTACGGTTTATTCCTAATAAAGATATTTTATTCGTGCACGATAGAAAGGGTGAATTGTTGTGCAGCGAAAGATTAATAATCCAGGTGATTCCAAATGAAAGCAGCATTAAAACAAATTTTATTTCCGGTAATCCGCTGTGCGCGCGATAAACGACTTCTATTAACCGGAAGGTATAATTTCATTTGAATTATAACATGAATTAATAAATATCCAAACATCTGTTAGCCGGCGCGGTTGAATAAATAATTATACTACGAAATTACTGAAAATTATTATAAGTTGAAATTCATATTTTATGCATTCGATACAAATTGGCCGTACAATTAGTTTCACGGAAGAAACGACCAGTATGTACATATTAAATTACGGTGTAATTAGAGTTTCATGACAAATGCAAAATATTGTACATTCGACGTGAAACAATTTTGTCGAGCAATTATAATAAACCATTATAAAAATTAATCTAAACGATTTTTGTGCTCGCGGTTAAAATTTTTTAGATATTCGTGGCTATTAACTGATTGCGTTTATTAAACCGATTAAATTTTTTATTACGTTTTAGCATTTAGGATTTTGGATTTTTGGGTTTTCGGGTTATTGGATTTTTGGATTTCGGACTTCGGGTTTCGGGTTTTTAGGTTTCGAGTTTATGGGTTTTTGGGTTTTCGGATTCCGGGTTTTCGGGTTCCGGGTTTTTGGGTTTCGGGTTTTTGGGTTTCGGGTTATTGAATTTTTGGATTTCGGACTTCGGGTTTCGGATTTTTAGGTTTCGAGTTTATGGGTTTTTAGGTTTTCGGGTTCCGGGTTTTTGGGTTTCGGGTTTTGGGTTTTCGGGTTTTGGGTTTCGGGTTTTGGGTTTCGGGTTTTTGGATTTTGGGTTTTCGGATTTTTGGGTTTCGGGTTCCGGGTTCCGGGTTTTTGAGTTTTTGGGTTTTTGGGTTTTCGGGTTCCGGGTTCGGGGTTTTTAGGTTTGAGGTTTTGGGTTTCGGGTTTTTGGATTTCGGGTTTTCGGTTTTCGGGTTTTTAGGTTTCGAGTTTATGGGTTTTTGGGATTTTGGGATTTTGGGATTTCGGGTTTCGGGTTTCGGGTTCCGATTTTTGGGTTTCAAGATTCTAGTTCATAGATTTTTAGATTTCGGGTTTCGATTTTTTGTATTTTCGGCATTTTAGGTTTTTGGATTTCAGATTTTTAAGTTGTGGGTTTTGGGTTTTGGATTTCGAATTTTTATGTTTCTGAATTTTTGGGTTTCGAGTTTTGGATTTTAGGTTTTTGAGTCTTCAGTTTTATACGTGGATGTTTGAAGTTTTGTTGTTTCGGACATTTAGACATTCAGTGTTATGGAGTTTTGCAGTTATAAAGTGTCAGAAAGAAAGGGTTTAGGGATTTCAGCGATTAGAGATTTTAATATCCCATAATTCCTACATCCACCAATTTTTTCCTACCATAAATTCTTCCTACCAAAGCCTATTATACCACCGTGTACATGCTTGGTAATAAAAGCATCTATAGCACCCTATAAATAATTCTTTAATAGCCCATCGATATCGACACCGCTCAGTCCATAAACTGTCATGAAAACGAAACCCTAACAATATCTCGATATAAAGCGATCGAATGTTTTGCGGTAAACATTTGCCTACGATTTGTTACGTACGCAGAATCCGTCGATGGTAAAATACTCGCGCTATTTGCAGCTTTAATTGTAACCGTTTGCAGCCCGTTCCCGTATTCCGGAAACGTTGTTCGCAGATTAATACGATTCCCCCTGTCATCGGGGAACAGCGTGTCATCGCGCGATAACTTTTCAGTTTCAATCGCGAACCACCCCTGGCTTGTTTTCCCATCGATCGATCCCCCGGCCAACCTTCGAACGTTCGTCGTACAATGTCATCGTTACACTTTGATGCTTATGTTTGGCGTTATGGCATCGCTATGGTAACTCGATGTACCACTCCGCACTGTGTTTGCTTTACTCGTGAACACGTTCGTTCACGGAACGTACGATTTCCTACGGACTGACCAAACTAATCGACCGGTTCATTAATTAGATCATTCGTGCACGCTTAATTGAAGGTGTTCCGATAGTGAATCGTTCGTTTCATTCGATTGTTACGGTGTTCTTTGATCGGTGCTGGCTGACTTCGTTCGTTTATTCCTTGTTTTTATTAGGTAACTTGTGTTATATTGTATCATGTGATATGTGTGTGAACTTGTATTGTGATGTTTAAGGTATGTTATGTTACATATGTTATGTATAACATATGTGTCACATGTAAATACGTATACATATGTCATGTATAACATATGTGTTATATGTAAATACGTAAACATATGTTACATGTAAATACGTATACATATGTCATGTATAACATATCTGTTATATGTAAATACGTAAACATATGTTACATGTATGTATAACATATGTTATAACATACATAAAATGTTGTATATACCATGTGACAACTTGAATTATAATATGAGACATGTTATGTTATATGCTAATACGTGTATGTTATAACACATATGTGAATGTATGTTATGACACAAGTGTAAATGTGTATTATGTTACATTGCACATATGTGACAGTCTATAATGAAGTATACGATATGTTGTATGTGTTATATGTGTCATATTATATGTATAACTTATGTGATAACATACATAAAACGTATGTTATGATAATAACATACGTTTATTATGTATGCATATACATATGTGACAACTTATGCTGTAATATACATATGAGACAAGTTATGTTATATGCAACATGTGTTACATTATACGTATAATGTATGTTAAAACACATATGTAAATGTATGTTATGACATATGTGGAAACGTATGTTATGTGACATTGCACATATGACGCGACAGTCTACAACAAAATATACATGGTATGTTATGTTACATGTGTTATATGTGTTATGTTATATGTCTAACATATGTGATAACATATACATATGTTACGTTACATTATACGTGTTTACACATAAATGCAATAACTCCTTTGGAACTAATTTACTATAAATTCTTGTCGATAATTTAACTTCTAAATGTTTTCAAAAGCATAAATCACTGAATTTTTCCTAAAACAACACATGTGTCAATATGAATAACATGTGTGAAATTTACGCTTAAGCGAAAGAAGTGAAATCAAGCGAAATAACAGAGGTCTCCCGATAGGTCACCCCATTTGTCGGTTGGTTTATAGAAACCATAGAGTCCCGGTAAGCATATTCTTCAGCGGGGACCCCCATAAAAGTCCGCGCGATCTGGCCGATGGTCTTCCAATCCATAGGATAGGAAACACACCAGCCAGGTAAATTTGTATGCGAACAAGGTACAAAGCTAGGATGCAAAGCCTAGAGATTCGAAAGTTTCCCTTTACCCGGTCGACTGGTGTATAAAAATGTCGTTTGCGCAGCGGCGTAACTCGGCCGAGAAGCCGAAGAAGAAGAGGAAGAAACAAAGGGACAGAAGGTCGGAGAAAGAAAACGAAAGGAACTTGGAGCAAAATGCCGATTGATTTTTACTATTTTCCACCGAGTCCACCGTGTCGGCAGGTTTTGCTTCTGGGAAAAGCGATTGGGGTTCACTTTAACTTGAAATCGGTGAACGTGTTGAAAGGAGAGCAAATGGCGGAGGACTTCGTGAAGGTTTGATTACGAAGTATCGGTTTATTCATTTAGGTTAATTAGTTATGTTTGTTACTGGGTTTCGATTTTCTTATTTTGAATAGGGTAATTTACTATTTTATTGATATTTGCGTTGACTGGATATTGGATGTTGAATTTTTGCATTATTCTTTAGATGTTTGAGTTTTGAGATTTTTTTAATGCGAGGTAGGAGGGAAAAGTTGAATTTGTAATTTTGGGAAGTTTGTAGGTGGTTATGAGGTTTTTTGTGATTGTTATTTTGGGCTTAAAATGAGGGAGAATTTGTAGGTGTTAGGAACTTAGAAGTTTAGGAGTGAGGGAATGTAGGATTGTAGGATTGTAGGAATGTAGGAATGTGGGAATGTAGGAATGTGGGAATCTGGGAATGTAGGAATCTAGAAATCTGGAAATATAGAAATCTAAAAATCTAAAAATATAAAAATATAAAAATTAAGAAATTAAAAATTTTTTAATTGAAAAATTGAAAAATTGGAAAATTAAAAAATTAAAAAATTGAAAAATTGGAAAATTGAAGAATTGAAGAATTGAAGAATTGAAGAATTGAAAAATTGAAAAATTGAAAAATTGAAAAATTCGAAAATTTAGAAACTTAGAAATTTAAAAATTAAAAAATGTTTAAATCTAAGTATTCAAAAATCCAGAAATTTAGAAATCTGAGAATACAATCATTCATTCATCCACACACAGAAAATTCTTCTACAAAATGAAAATACAAACTTGTACTAAAATAACGTCAACAAAAGTTCAGAATCTCCATTGATATCAAACGTCCAGAATCAATAAGTTAATTAATTAGTGATAATACGACAAATTAATCGTGAACAAGATTTATGTATTGTTATACGATTTCATTTATGCAGATCAATCCACAGCACACAATACCGACTATAAACGACAATGGATTAATTTTGTACGAAAGGTACGTGGCAATTATTTTAATTATAATATTATCTTTTCTTATGTTGTATTTTGATGATTACAGTCGACCAATTATGGGATACTTAGTCAATAGATACGCGAGAAATGATTCTTTATATCCTAAGGATCCAAAAAAGCGGGCAGCTGTTGATCAGATGTTGTATTTTGATCTTGGTTCTCTATTTGAAAATATCTCTATGTGTTACGTACGTATATTAATACTATTTTTGTCATTTATTTGGTTATTGTAAAAGCATGGATTTTTGGGGAATGAGATTTTGTTTGAAATAGAGAAATATTAGGAGTCTCGCTATATGGCCCTGGACAGGGGCGAGCCACAAACGGAAGGAGCTTTATAAAAGGAGCTCTTTATAAAAATTTAAAAGTGTAAAGATTTGAAAATTGTTTAACTTGAATTTGGAAAAAGTACAAAACTATAAAATTAGGAAATTAACAAAAAAATGGTGCAAAAAGTAGAGAATTAGAAAATTAGAAAACTAGCAAAAAAAATTAGCGAAATAAATTATATAACTCGAATTTGCAAAAAGGAGGGAACTAAAAAACTATCAATAAAAACTAGAAAATTAGAAAACTAGAAAACTTGAAAATTTAAGAACTTCTGAAATTAAAAATAAAAAATTATGAAACCTTCAATCCTTGGAAACTTGAGAGTTCAAAAACCCGAGAAATTAAAAATTAAAATTGAAATCCCAAATATTTCCAAAATCTTATAATTCAAACACTTGAAAAATTACAAGTTAAAAAATTTGAAAATCTATAAGCTTAACAATTGAAAACCTGAAAACTTAAAACTTACAAGTTAAAAATTTGGAAAATAAGCTTAAAAATTGAAAATTTGAAAAATTTAGCAACTTGAAAATTAAAAAAAAAACTTGAAACCATTATCATACCATAATTACAAATATTCTCACATAAAATCATAAAATTGACACAGAATAAAGAATAAAATTTTTCTTCCAGTTCCCAGTGATACTCGGCAAAACTCATTCACTAAATGAGGAACGCGTACGAGCAGTAGAGAAATCGTGCGAAATATTAAACAAGTTCCTCGAAGGTAAAGAATTTGTGGCTGGTGATAATCTGACGATCGCTGATTTCTCCATCAGCACGTCTATCTGCCTTTTGCACGTAAGTATTTGAGAATGGCACATCAAGCATATAATATCGTACGAGCAATAAAGAATCGAACCCGTGAATCGTATGGCACGCTCGACGATAAAAATGTCGGACTCCTGTTTCATAGCTGGGGAAATTGGGAATGGGGGAAATTGGAATTGGGGAAATTGGGAATTGGGGAAATTGGAATTGGGGAAATTGGGAATTGGGGAAATTGGAATTGGGGAAATTGGGAATTGGGGAAATTGGGAATTGGGGAAATTGGGAATTGGGGAAATTGGAATTGGGACAATTGGTAATTGGGGAAATTGGAAATTGGGGAAATTGGAATTGGGACAATTGGTAATTGGGGAAATTGGAAATTGGGGAAATTGGAATTGGGACAATTGGTAATTGGGGAAATTGGAAATTGGGGAAATTGGAATTGGGACAATTGGTAATTGGGGAAATTGGAAATTGGGGAAATTGGAATTGGGACAATTGGTAATTGGGGAAATTGGAAATTGGGGAAATTGGAATTGGGACAATTGGTAATTGGGGAAATTGGAAATTGGGGAAATTGGAATTGGGACAATTGGTAATTGGGGAAATTGGAAATTGGGATTGGGAATTGGGGAAATTGG